TAAAATATTGAGACAATAATTTATGCCTTTAGTTTTAAAAATCATTAAAATCTATTAAAAAAGGTTGTATGGAAAAAAAAGAATTACAAAAGTTAGCCCAAAAGGTTCAATTAGAAATAAAAGAGGAGGAACTATCAACTTATTTAGATATTTTTCAGCACTTGGAAAAACTGCTGGCTGATTTTAAAAAAGTTCGGGTAGGAAAAAAAACAAAATCCCTAAAAAGAATTGAGATTGGCCATTTAACCCTGCGGGATTTAGAAAAATTAAAAGAAAACTTTTCCCAGCCTAGAATTAATAAAAAAGACCAAGCAAAAAATTCACTAAATACAGCAGATGGTTTTGTGTTATTTAAAAAATAATCTCTGTTTTTTTAATCTATTTAGTCTTTTTTATTATTAGTTATTAATTAGTTTATTGGTGGATCTTGAAGGACTTGAACCTTCAACCACCCGGTTATGAGCCGGGAGCTCTAACCAATTGAGCTAAAGATCCTTTTATTAATAATTTTTAGTTTAAATATTTGCTATGGACGGCATACTTCTTATTGACAAACCGTCAGGAATTACTTCTCACAAAGTTATTGAAATTATTCGGAGAAAGTTAAACTTAAAAAAAGTGGGTCATGCGGGAACACTGGACCCCTTGGCTACTGGATTATTAGTAATTATGTTGGGTAAAGCCACTAAATTAAGCAACCAGTTAGTTAGTCAATTCAAATCCTATCAAGTAGAAATGAAATTGTTTTTAGAAACTGATACTGGTGATATAACAGGAAAAACAACTAAGAGCGAAAAGGCACAGACATTTACAGAAAATCAGATTCAATTAGTTTTTGATTTTTTTAATGATTATGAATATTGACAAAAGCCACCAATTTATTCAGCCATAAAAATAGGAGGGAGAAAATTATACCAATATGCTCGCCGAGGAATCGCAATAGAAGTTCCTCCTCGCTTAGTAAAAATAGCGAAGATAAAATTACTAAACTATTTACCCGAAGAAGCAAAGATAAACTTTTGAGTAGAATGTAGCAAAGGCACTTATATTCGCAGTTTGGTAAAAGATATAGCAGAAAAATTGAAAACAACAGCGACAGTAAGCCAATTAAGGAGAACTAGTTCTGGAGAATTTGATGTTAATCAGGCAATAAAGTTAGAAGAAGTGAAAGAAGAAAATATAATTTTTTTGGAGGAAAAGTAACTATGAAAAAAATGCCGACTTACCGAGAAATGAAGAGCAATGCTCAACTTTTTTGTTTTCTCTCACTAATCCTATTTATTTTTTCATACCTTTTCGTCGTTTATTTCTTTTCCACGTTGAAAAAATTTCGTAAAAAGAGGAATTGTCTTTCGAATTCCCGTTGAGTAATTTTCTTTACTTTTTCAACTTTGTCCTTTTTCTTGATAATTTTTTGCGGCTTTCTTCTCGTTAAACTTTACTTGTTTCTTTTGCCTCCCTCCTAAATCTTACTTATAAAATTTAATTTATTAACACTCATGATAATTAAAGAAAATATTATCAACAAAGACATCTTGATAGCCAGAATAAAAAAAGATATTGCAGAAGAGAAAAGATTAGTGGGAAAAATTGTCGCCCAGGTAAAATCAGCCAAAAAAAATCCCCAAACTCGATTAAACATCGAGGAAAAACAATTACGAGTCCACTTGCATGAGGAAATAAAAAAGTGAGAAGAAAGAAAAGTGCAAAAAATAATTAACAAATTTTTGGAGGAAATAAAACTTAGTTTACAAAAAAAAGAAGATATTATTCTCTGAGGATATTTTGGTTTGAAAGTTCGTCGCTCCTTACCGAGAAAAGTCCGCAATCTGCAAACTGGTAAGGAAATGACAGTTAAAGCCAAAAATAGAATAAGTTTTCGGGCTAGTTCTAAATTAAAAAGAGAAATAAATTAAACTGGTTTAGTAAAAAAACAATAATTTTCTCGCCCTCCTTCCCTAAAATTTACTATATAGCGCAAGGGTCCATAGCTCATTTGGTAGAGCATCTGTTTTGCACACAGAAGGTGGTCGGTTCGAAACCGGCTGGATCCACCAATATTGCAATGAAATAAATTAAGGCAACGATATACAAGTGCTGCACTCTAAGCATATTTTACTTTCTCTTTTTAACATAAAATAAAACAGTTTCTCATTCATAAATCATAACTTTATTTCGCATAAAAACCATAATTTGTCGACAAACAAAACCATAAAAAAAGTTAGCCGTCTAACCAAAAAAAAAACTGGTTAAGAGAGATTAAAAAGAGAAAAATAACGAGATAAAAGAAGTCATAAAAAACTTCCTAAAAGCTGACCGAAATAGAAAAAGAGAAAATAATTCAACTATTTAGAGAGAAAAAATGACTTGGACAATACAAAAAACTATTCCGAGCAAGGAGATAAAAAAAAGAACAAGCGAAATAAAAAAAGCAAATCGAAAACGAGAGACCAAAAAATCGTACTTTCTTCCTAGTTCTTTGCATCTGTGAAACATGGAATTAGAATAGAAAATAAGAGTTAAAGAAATAACAAATAAAAGCAAAACTTTTTCTCAAGGAGTTTCTTTCATCATAAAATCATTTTTACCTTAAAGATTGCAAACGCTACAATCATGCTTACACCTCATTACAGAAACCTTTTTTTGGAACTAGTTATATTAAAAGTGTCTAGTAGGAATGTAGAATAGTCAGTAAGTTTCTTGTTCTCAAGAATCTTTAATTCCGCCAAAATTTAATTAATATGGGTTATTCGCACCAAGAAATTGAAAAAAAATGACAAGAATATTGAACTAAAAACAACACTTTTTTTACCAATTTAGCAGATAAAAGCAAGCCAAAAAAGTATATTCTGGTCATGTTTCCTTATCCTTCGGGCAGTGGTTTACACGTCGGACATATTAGAAATTATATGATTGCCGACGCCCTGGCTCGCTTTTATCGTTTTCGCGGCTATAATGTGCTAATGCCGATTGGCTGAGACGCTTTTGGTTTACCAGCCGAGCAGTATGCTATTCAAACTGGTAATCACCCGGCTACTTTTACTAATGCCAATATCCAGAAATTTAAAGAACAATTGCTAAAAATGGGTTTTTCTTATGATTGAAGTAAGGAAATAAACACTAGCGCTCCGGAGTATTATCATTGAACTCAGTGGATTTTTTGTCAAATATACCAACAAGGATTAGCCGAATACAAAGAAATACCAGTTTATTGGTGTGAAAAATTAGGGACAGTATTAGCTAATGAGGAAATAAAAAACGTTGATGACAAAAAAGTTTCTGAGCGAGGAAATTACCCCGTAGTAGAAAAAAAAATTCCCCAGTGAGTTTTAAAAATTACTCAGTATGCCCCTCAGTTACTAAAAGATCTAGACAAAATAAACTGACCTAACAGCATCAAAAGTCTGCAAAAAAATTGGATTGGATTAAATCAAGGAACATTTATTAACTTTCATGTGCCAGATAAAAATTTGGTTGTCACTGTTTTTACCAAAAGTCCCCAAACTCTTTATGGAGTAACTGCTCTTGCTTTATCAGTTAATCACCCTCTCATTACTCAAATTACTTTTCCTGACAAAAAAACCAAAGTAAGTGAGTTTTGTGCTAATTGGAAAGACAAGGTAAGTAAAGAAATAAGGGGAGAATTTACTGGAAACTATTGTCAACACCCTTTAACTGGTGAAAAACTACCAATTTGGGTGACTAATTTTGTGGTCAATGAATACGGAACCGGAGCAGTAATGATTAATGCCTTTGCTCCAGAAATATTTAAGTATCAAGAAGTCCCTAATTTAGTTCGTGAGAAGGAATTAAAACAAAATAAACAAATTGATTATTCTCTTGCGACAAGATACAATCTGCCAATAAAAAAAATCTTTCAAATAAATAAACAAGGAGCAAAATTGAATGGCCATTTTATTAATTCGCCTTTAATTAACAATCTAGATAATAGAGAAAAGGCTATTGAAATTATTAATCAGCATTTAGAAAAAGAAAAAAAAGGACGAGTTGGTTTTTTCTATCACTTAAAAGACTGAGTTTTTTCTCGCCAAAGATATTGAGGCGAACCAATTCCGGTTATTCACTGAGAAAATAAACAAACTAAACTTTTATCCGAAAAAGATTTACCGTTGACTTTGCCTTCTTTAACTGATTTTGTTCCCAATCCTCTTTATTATTCTCCTTTACAAAAAGCCGAAAATTGGGTTAATGTTGAGAAAAACGGTTTAAAAGGAAAAAGGGATGTTAATGTGATGCCGCAATGGGCTGGCTCTTGTTGATATTATATTGCCTTTTTGCTAAAAAAAAATGATGCTTATTTAGCCCTTAACAGCGAGGAAGCCAACGAGATTATAAAAAACTGGCTGCCAGTCGATATTTACATTGGCGGACAGGAACACGCCAATTTACACCTATTATATGCCCGTTTTTGACATAAAATTTTATACAAAATAGGAGTGGTTAAGTGCCCCGAACCCTTTCAAAAATTAGTTTGCCAGGGCATCATTTTGGGTGCCGATGGAGAAAAAATGTCAAAATCTCGTGGCAATGTTATTAATCCTGACGAGTTAGTGGAAAAATATGGGGCTGATGCTTTGCGCCTCTACGAAGTTTTTTTAGGTCCAGTCGAGCAAACAGCCAATTTTGATATTAATGGCGTGTGAGCCATGAAAAAATGGTTAGACCGAGTTTACAATTTTTTCGTTCTTCACCGCGAAGCCATACTTACTAACACCCAAAATAAGGAAATAGAAACTGCTTGCCATGAAATGATTATAAAGGTAAATACTTACTATGAAAGTATTAAATTGAACTTAATTGTTTCTTCCCTCATGGAGTTTATTAACAAGTGCTACAAGGCCCAAACAAAAGTCATGCCAACCGAATGTTTTTTAAACTTTCTGAAATTGTTAAACCCACTCGCACCCCATATTACCGAGGAAATGTGAAGTTATTTCGAGGAACAGCCTATCGGAGAAAGCAGTTGACCCCACACCGAAAAGTTATCAATAATTACTCCTCAAAAAGTAAACATTATAATCCAAATTAACGGCCAAAAAAAGGCAGTGCTTTCTGCAAATAAAGACACCAGCCAGAAAGAAATAGAAGAACTAGCCAAAAATGACCCGCAAATAAGCAAACTATTAACTGGGCAAACAATCAGTAAAATAATTTTTATAGAGAATAAATTAATTAACTTTGTTATTTAGTTAAGTTAAAAAATCATGCCAAAATTTTTAAGAAAGGCACTTTTTTGGGTTATTTTAATAGCATTAATGATTGGTGCCGTTTTATTTATTAATCAACAAATAGAGAAAAAAAGTGAAAAGCCGGAAAATAAACCTAACCAAAAAGTTCCCCAACCGCCTAATGATAAACCAAAAGATAACCCTGAACAAATACCACCAATTGATACCGAAAATTGGTGATTAACTGACGAGGAAATTGAGAATGCTTACCAAGAAATCAGGAAGGAAATTGAAAATTCGCCCGAAATTCAATTAGTTGACCCCAGCGTAGCACGGGTTATCCAGGCAGGGGGCGAAATTAGCAAGGAATTAAAGCAAGCAAAAATTATTTTCTTTCCCATAAATAATTCAAAAAATCACGAAACGGCCAACGCCGGAAGCCACTGGACTTTGTTGGTTTGTGATAATAGAGCAAACGTTGGTGCCTTTGCTCATTATAATTCGGCTGGTTCTAATATTCCAACTAATGCTCAAAAGTTAGCAGAAAAACTTTGTGAAAAGTTAGAGGTAGATAAAGATTACTTGTCTCCTAAAATTTATAATGATTACGAGTACCCACAACAGACTAACGGCGCCGACTGTGGAGTTTATGCAATTGCTTATACCCGTTTTTTAGTTAATGAGTGGAAGAAGAAAAAAGATCCTGGAAAAGCAAGTTTCAAAGAACAAGATTTAATTTTCACCATTGCCGAAGAAAGACAAAAATTAAAAGCGGCTGACTTTCCTAAAAAAGGCACTCCTGGAAAAGATTATGACATTGGCGACGATGTTGATTATTACGAAAGTGAAGAAAATAGTATTTTAGAATGATACCCAAACCCCGATACGCCGTTGAGGAAATTTGTAAGCCAAATTTGGACGAAGTATAACCTTGAAACAAATCAAAGTCTAGTCAATCCTAGCGATTTTAAAGATTTTAGCAAAAAAGTCCGTTTGTTAAGTGGCATTGGCAAGATAGAAAAAGCAAAATTATCCCAAGTCTATCGCATTAAAAAGATTTTAAAGGCGTGTAGTCTGCCGTTAGAGGAATATAAAAAAACTAACTCTTTCAATAATAAAGACAATTTTCGAGATGATAAAATAACTTCTGAGGAAGGCCAATTTGTCAAAGAGAATATAAATAAAAAAATAGTTAAGGAAATAAACGATTTATATAACATTCATTTTCCAGATAAATAACGATAAAGATAAAATTAATTTAATGAATTAAATAAATAATCATGAAATTAACCAAAAGACAAAAAAGAATAATTTTAATTTCTGTCCTATCATTTTTTTTGGTACTTACAGCAATAATATCCACTAGTTTGATTATTAATAAAAATAAAGAAAAAGTTTCTTCCTCTACTCCCCAAAAAAAAATTCCTCCCACTGATTTAACAAAAACCAAAACAGAAACAATTACTCTTCTGGAACAAAAATTAAGTTCTGACAACATTAGAAAAGACGATTTGCTTAAAGAATTAAAAGGTAATAATTATTTGGCAACTGGGGAAACCAACTTAAAAGAATATATTGAAGGAGCAACTACTCCAACCGAGTTAGAAATTAGGAAAAAAAGGGTTCTAGAAATTGTTGGAAGACTGGTTGGTAAGTCTCCATCTCCATCTCCATCTCCATCTCCATCTCCATCTCCATCTCCATCTCCATCTCCATCTCCATCTCCATCTCC